AGTGACATAAAAGAAAAGCAGGTGGCCACCAAGATCTTGACTGACTTGATTTAATAACAGAATTGGTAGCAATAGATTTGGGAAGACGTCTTGCCCTTAAAGAAACAGGAGATAATTTTACCTTTTAGCTAGAGCTAAGAAGAAAGGACCTGTTGAATTCCCATGGGAAAGACTCAGGATTATCTCCTAGACCTAGAAAGAATTGCCTACATGAGCCATGGAGAGAAAGACCTCACTCAGTTGTGGTGAGAGTGGGAAAGCAATGTTGCAGCTGCTGACTGGTACTGACATAATTTGACTTTGGGGAGCTGTAGCTGGTCACCTAGGTGGAAAGATTTTTAGCACCAAAAACAGTTTCCCATCAGACCCTCCCATGAGGGAAGTTATATATGTAAGTGTGTGTATATGTAATTATGTTATCATTATTATTATATCTGAGACCATTATTTTTATTCATGAATCCTATTCCAAGTGGGAGCTCTATATTCATGTGGGATCCTATCCTTACACGCATGAGCTCTACCTCTACTTTTTCTACATCTGGGAACTCATATTGAATGTGGGAATCTGATCTCAGGATACTTTTTTTAAAAAAAATCTCTTTTGCTGTTAAGATTCTGAGATTGTACTGAAAACACCGAGAATATTCCTTTGACTAAAATTTTTCTTCTTTTTTTCTCTAGCTTTCTTATCTTTTTAATAAACTTTCTTATTTTTGCCTTTTAAAAATAATTTTCAGATGCATATTGTTTTTAAAACATTTCCTTATTCTTCTTAAGAAAATAACTAACTTTGGCCTATGATATCTCTCAGACATAAAAGTTCTAGCCCTAGCCTTACCAACAGGTGAAATGTCATTTGGGAGCCTAAATAGGACTCCCAATTTCTCTCTCTCTCTCTCTCTCTCTCTCTCTCTCTCTCTCTCTCTCTCGCTCTCTCTCTCTCTCTCTCTCTCTCTCTCTCTCTCTCTCTCTCTCTCTCTCTCTCTCTCTCTCTCTCTCTCTCTCTCTCTCTCTGTATCTATCTCCCCCACCCCTTTCTCTGTAGTGAGGGAGACATTTGGTTCTCTCCTTCCTCTCCTCCAGGTAATTGATATAATCACAAAAATTAAGGAATTGATAATAGAAATAATGAGGTTATATAATGTGTTAATTGAGCACAAAGATGTGTTCACCTCTTGTCCCAAATGAATGAATGAAGCAGTTATGAAGCACTTACTATATGCTGAGCATTGGAGATACAAACAGAAAGGTAAGATAGTTCCTGATCTCAAGGAGCTCATATTTTAATGGAAAAGACAACACATTTGGAAAGTTTCAGCTACAAGACTGAAGAAATGATCCCACAGTCCTTAGGGTAGTGTGGCAAAGCAGATGGTAATGCATCTTCTTTAATGCAATGCCCACTGATAAAAACATATCAGTTTTCTGATGTTGAGCTATTTAACAATGCCAAGGACTTTGGTCACTAGAATTTTTCTTTGGGGCTGTCAAAAGATGTGGCCATAGCGCCTGTAGGAGTAGGTACCAGGTTTCTCCTCCACAGGGTCTGCTTTCCATAATGATGTCTTCCTTGGAAGGTGAACTTGGCATTGACTGGACAAAAACATTGACTGGACAAAGATTGGTCATGCTCCTGGAATTCTTTGAAAAGTTCAGCTTACCAAGTTCTGAAGACAGTGGAATGATGGGGGCATATGAGGTAGGGATACGCTTTGTGAAGTATGGCCTCAGCTTACCTAACAGAATGTGGAGGTGAGATTTTCTCTTCTCCCTTTAATTAGTTACGTGATTTTTAGTGGAGCTATTTGTGCATTAAAAGATACTGCAGCTAGCAGATAGCAATTTGGAGAGTCAAGAAGTTCAAGACAAGGAACAAATACACCCTTTCCAGACAGACACAGACACAGATAGACAGGAGAAGCAGCATTTTAGGCAGGAAGCAGCTTAAGAAAGAAATGTGACCCCTGGCAGTACACAAGAGAGTTGACTATGAATTAAAGAGGGAACTAGTCATCATGGTCAGGAATTGAACTATAGAAAAAAGCTATAGGGTGATGAAATAGCATTATGGTCCTGCAGTACCAGAAGCATTATTTGCTTTGGACAGTACTTACATGCCTCACTATCAGTATAGTCTCGAGTTTGTGCACACTCTACCTATTACGTTATACGTACTTGTGAGAGTTTGTCCCAGGTTTATGGGAGGAATGTTTTGCAGCTTCTGCTCTTCCCATGCCATCTTAGTCTTTGCTTTGAGTTAATTGGTTTTACTGTTTGAGTATTAGAGATAAACTCACTCGTGGGGGCTTGTGAACTCCGCCTTAAAAGTGAGGAACCACCAGCTGCCCCATAAACTTAATGTAGTAGTCAACTTCCAGGAAACCCAACTCACAAGTGGGTTGAAGAGGATTGTAGAGGAGGGTGTGAATGATAATGATGAGGAAGAGGATCATTATTATTACACATGAACTCTGTTATGCAAGAGTTCTATTACAAGTATTTACACCTATAGCAAAGGAATAATATAATTTTTTGTGAGGATTGTTGTGGTTTCAAGGTGTGTTGTGGGGTTGTCTTGGAAGAATTCACAGACTCAGACCATCTCCAATCCAAGCAAATTGAGAAGTATGCCTCTCAGGAAGTGGACTGAATTCCAAGAAGGAATAGGCAGTTTCATCAAGGCAAGATAAGCAATTTTAAAGAGTATATGATGCTGCTTACACAGCTGAAGATATGACTATTAAAAAGCAGGAGGGGTTTGTCAAGGGATTAGGGGAGGGGTCCCAGCCTTGGTGGAACTGTGCATGTAGTTACCCACAATGCATACAAAAAAACCATTTGGGGGGCATGTATGTACGATAACAATATTATAATAAGCCTCTCTACACCATAAGTTCACCTTAAGGATAACTTTTTCTATTACTGCACAGGTGCCTACTTAGGAAAAGTCCCTTCTATTGTTTTGGGGTCCACATCCTGCTCAGGCGTCCTGGTGTTGCTGCTTTCTGATTGGCTGGCTAGTGTAGTCCTGTCTGAAAATAGATGGATGTGGTTGTGGTTGAGTGCATGGACACACCTGCTGTTTCTGTGAGGAATATGAGGAAGCTGGGTCTGGGGGTGGGGGCAGTGGCTAGATTGGGGCTGGGGATCTGTGGTACAGTTAAAGCCAGACTGTGTGGTCAAATCAGGACATGCCTGCTATTCAGTAAGGCCCATAAAGAAGTTAGAATATTGGGTCTAGGGGAAGCTTCATTAGAATTCCATCAAGAATAGATGAGATGATAGATAATGTGGCTTAACTGTGGTGTCAGGGACAGATTTATCCTGCTGAATCAGGATTTCATTCAGAGGTGTGCTGAAGCCTGCTCTGAGTAGAATCAGAAATCAGTACAAATCACTACAAATTAATTAATTGTTTGATTTATTATCTAGGTTTAATAATGCAGATTAAACTTATAAGTGTGTGCTTACTTTTTTTTTGAGTGCCTGGTTGTTAAACATTTATCAGCACACCCTTATGTGTGTGATTTATGAACTTTGCTTGAATTTAGCAGGAATGTAGCTCAGGGAAGGAAGTCATCACCAAACTGGAGGACTGGTGACTGTAGAATAATGATAATGATAATAATAACAAGGATGATGATAATAATAAATAATACCTTAAGTTTTCAGAAGGCTTTATATCCATTATCTCCTTTCAGTCTCATAACACCCCTGCTTTCGCTATGGTAGATGTGATTTTTTTAGAGGCTACCTAAATTTGGGGAACAGTGGATAGAGTGCCAGGCCTGGAGTCAGGAACACTTATCTTCCTGAGTTCAAATCTGGCCCATATACTAGCTGTTTGACTCTGGGCAAGTCACTTAAGCCTGTTTGCCTCAGTTTCCTCATCAGTAAAATTAGCTAGGGAAAGAAATACTCCAGTATCTTTGCCAAGAAAACCCCAAATGGGGTCACAAAGAGTCAGATATGACTGAAACTAAATGACTAAACAATAACAACCCCCCAATTTGTGTAATAATTACTTCAGGGTTTCATTGTTATGACTGGAACCACTCACTTCGCTAGATTCCCCAGTATCCCAAGATTGAGGACCTTTGTCTATAATCATTTCATGATTCCTTGAACAGTTTTATCTATTAGAACAGAAAATATGAATCTCCTATCTGTCTACACACATTGTCTTCTGACATTGGAACATTCAGTACATGCCACTCATAGAGAAAACATGGTGATGGAGTCAGGCACTAGAGTAGAAGAAAGAAAACCTGGCTTCCAGCCTTGGCTTGACACCTATATCTTGTTTGGTGTGTATAAATGACCTTGGGAAAAAATCACCTCTTTTCTCCGGGCCCCAGCTTCCTTATCTGTAAAATGATGTAGGTTGGACTCAATAATCTTTAATTTTTTTTCTAGATCTGACATACTGGGATTCTACTTCTAATAAATAAAACAAATAATAATAATAATGCTTTCAATAAATAAAATGAAACCTTCCATTAAGCAGGTAATTATTTTTCTGGGTTTTTTTTTGTCCAACAGTAGGTGGCACCACAGTCCTAAAATAATTTTCCAGGATACTGGTGTTTAACCCAATTGAAGTGTCATCTGAGTTATTCTTTCCTAGTCAATTTTAGTGTGCCTGGGTTGGACCAAATCTGTGTCAAATGGTAAAGAATGAAGCAAGTGCGATATATGTAGATAGCCTCTTTCAACTGAAGATAAATTTTCAATTGAAGTATTTCTGCAAATATGTAGGCTCCAATTAATTTTTCTAAGAAAAATAAAATTTTATTCTTGCCCATTGTTGTTGTTGGGTAAAATAACAAATTATTTTGTTGTTAAGGATGCTAAAGAGTAAAGAAATTGAGAAAGATCTGTAGAAACTAAAGTTGCTGCAAGTGTATTAATGATGGCATTGGTTAAGTCATATTTCTCCTCTTCACCCTGGGATGCTGTGTTTTTTTCTTCATTGACTCAAGTATGAATCTTATTTACCTCTTTCTTCTCTATTCTTTTGTTCTGTCCTCCTTGCTGTAGTTGTGAACACATTTCTTGAACATAGCTGTTTGTAAATAATTGCATATTCTGTTGGCTCTGTTCCCATCTCCTGTGTAGAAATACAATGTCAAATTTTCTTGGAAAGTCTCTCTTTCAATTAATACAGTCACTGAGAGGTAATAGATTATAGAGAAGAGACTAAGAATCAGGAGGTAGATTCTTTTTGGTTTACATTTTTAAAAAATTATTTTTACACCCCTCCCAATTGAACAACCAAAAAAAAACAATAAAAAAACTTTATCATAAGTATGCATCATTAAGTAAAAAAAAATTTCCACACTGGCCATACCTAAAAATATATGTTCCTTGTACATTTTAAGTTCATCACCTTTCTGGGAAAAGGTGAGTGGCATGTTTTTTCTTCAGTCTCCTGGACTTTTAAGTTATTCTTATTGTATTGATTAGAATTCTAAAGTCTCTCAAAGTAGTTTTTTAAAATAATGTTGTCATTTTATACATTGTTCTCCTGGTTATTCTCACTTCATTCTGCTTCCTTCCAAAGACATCTTCCCAGTGTTCTCTGAAATTGTCCATTTTATCATTTCTCATGGGACAATAATTTTGCATTATATTTATTTGTTGTAATTTGTTCAGTTAATCCTCAATGAAACAGCCACTTGGTTTCCAATTTTGGGCTACTACAAAAAAAAAGAGCTACCTTAAATATTTTTGTACCTCTTGCTTTGATCTCTATGGGGATATAGGCTTAGTAATGGTATATCTGGGTCAAGGTAGATACAACTTTTGCAGCATAGTTCTAAATGGCTTTTCAGAATGGCTGGACTAATTCATAGCTCCACTAAGAATGAATTAATGTTCCCTATTGCCTCCCAACATTTATCACTTCCTTCTTTTGTCATCTTTGTCAGCCTGATAGCTGTGAGGTAAAACTTCTATAACTTCTCGATTCCTTTCATTTGCATTTCTCTAATTATTAGTGATTTAGCACATTTTTTCATATGGTTGTTAACATCTTGGATTTCTTTTATTAAAAATTGCTCATTTATACCTATTGGGGAATGGCTGTTAGTCTTACAAATTTGAATCGGTTCCTTATATGTCTTGGATATGAAACACTTATCAAAGGAAATTGCTACAAAGATTTTCTTCATAGTTACCAGTTCTCCTTTTTAACTTTTTCTACATTAGATTTGTTTCTGCAAAAAATAATTTTATTTAATCGAAATTATTGATTTTATCTCATGTTGATCTTCTCTATCCATGTTTAGTCATGAACTTTTCTCTCTCCATAGATCTGAAAGGAAAGTTTTCCTTGATCCCCTAATTTATGATGTGACCTTTTATAGTTTATCTTGGTATATTGTGTGAGGTGTTGGGCTAAACCCAGTCTCCATCAGACTACTGTCCAGTTTCCCAGTAATTGCTGTCAATGTTTCTTTTCCCCCAAAATTGTGGTTTTTGTTTATTGACCTCTATTCTACTTTTTGTTTCTGTATGTTATGTAATTAACTTGTTCCACTGGTTGGCTCTTTATTTTTTAACCAGCGCCAAATCATTTTAATGATTAAGTTGATTATGTATTGCTGAATAAGTAAATTAATTTAAATACTATTGTAATTTTTATTATATTGGCTCGGTGTATCCCTGAACAGTTAATATTTCTCTATTTAGATCTGTCTTTGTTTCTGCAAGTAACACTGCTACTTATTAACTATGTGACCTTGTATGTCAGTCACTACAAGTATTTATTTAGTCCATACTAAGTATTGAGCATTGTGCTAGATGCTGGGGATACTAGTACAAAGAATTAAGCAATATCTACTTATATGAGCTTGCATTCTAATGAGGTAGATAAAAATATACAAAAGTACGCACCCCCTGATTTTACATATACAAGCATACAACTATAAAGTTAATTAAGGAAAATATATATCAAGTACTTAAATACATGGTAGTTTGGGGTGGGGGGAGAACACTCATCATCAGAGAGATCAGGAAAAGTTCATGCAGAAGATGATGCCTGCGCTGTATCTTAAAATAAGAGGGGGAGGTAAGGAGGAAATGTATTCCAGGGATGGCCAATGCAAAGGCATAGATAAGAGGAATTTAGCTAGATCACAGAGTTGAAAGCAGATGGTTTGTGAAGTAATGTTCAGTGGGATTGGAAATCTAGGCTGGCGCCAGGTAGGATAAGGATTTAAAATCAAACAAAGTAGTTTATATTTTAGTCTAGAGGCAATATGAAGTCAATGGAATTGGTTAAATAGAGGGATCACATGGTCAGATCTGTACTTAAGGAAAATAATAGCATTGTATGGGATATGGAGTGGTGAGGGACTTCAGGCAGTGAGACTAAGGAGGCTATTGAAATAATACAGGCAAGAGATGTCAAAATCCTGAATTAATATATGGAAGTGGTGAGGGGTCAGATTCAAGAGATTTTATGAAGTTAGGAATGGCAAGATTTGGCAAAGGATTGGATATACAAGGTGAAGAAGAGTGATGAGTCCAGGATAATGTTAAGATTACAAACCTGAGACACTGAAAAGATGGTGATGTCTTTAACAGAAGTAGAGAAGTTTGGAAGGAGAAGTTTTAAGGAGATAATAAATTCAGTCTGTTGAGTTTAAGATCAATCTGTTTAGTTTAAGTTGTCTCTGGGACATCCAGTTTGATATGTCCATCAGGTAATTGATGATATGGGAGTGAAGCTCAGGAGAGAGACTAGGGATAGATATGTAGTTCTGGGAGTCATATACATAAATATAAACCCTGTGAACTGATGGAGTTACCAAGAGAGAAACTATCACAAGAGGAGGCTGTAGAAAGTATAAAGGGAATATATAAAGGGAGATGTCCAAGGAAAGAACCTTGGGGAACACTCATAGTTAAGGAGGAGAGGAAAGACTATTCAGAAGAAGTTGATCAACAGTATTGAGTATAGTGGATAGGTCAAGGTCATCAGATTTGGTAATAGGTGATTTCAAATGAAGTTTCATTTGAGTGATGAAGTCAATAGATTGAGAAGGTTTGAGGACTAAGAGAAAGAGAAGAATAAGTGGAAGCTGTGAATGTAGACAGAGATAGACAAAACTACAAGATATTTTGGGAAGTGGGTGCACCAAGATCTAGAGGAGGATCAGGAAAGGCTTCACTTAGATGGTAGCACTTGAGCTAAATCTTGAAGGAAGCCTGGAATAGTAAGTGGCAGAGGTGAGGAAGGAGTGTGTTTTACCATTGAGAATTGATAGTGCAAAGACATAGCAATGAAAAGGGCCCTCTCTGGTTGGGTGCTGCCACTGTGGCTTATTACATTCCAAACTTTAGTTGGGACTCAGTTCTTCACTATTCAAACAAACTTCTTCAAGTCTTCTGGCAAGCCAGGCTAAGGATTAAGCTGCTCCATTTGTTAGTGATCATACTCTCACAGATACACAAACTCCCCCTATCCTCTATCAGTTCACAAGGGATCCAGTCCAATAAGCATTTCTTACATACCTGCTATGTGCCAGACATTGTGCTAAGTGCTGGGGATACAATCAATAAAAAGTAAGATGGTCCCTGCCCTCAAGGAATTTACAGTCTAAAAGAGGACGTGCAAAAGGAGGTAGGAAATGGGTGGGGTGAGAAATAGGGTGGGGAGTGCTGTACATCTTGAGTGAGGGCATCTTGTTCCATGAAGTTAACACCAGGCAGAGCAGCAGATGCAGAGTGGAAGGCATTGAGAAGAGTTTAGCATTTAGTACCCCACCCTCCAGCCCTCCAATCAGAGGGGAGAGGAGGCTGAGGGAGGTGGTGTCAGTCCAGGAACTGAGGATCTCCAGATTTCTGTAAGGTCCCCTCCAGTGCTGGATATAAACATTCCACAATTGCCCTTTGCTCACCCATACTCAGGAAAGACATTAAATAATAGCAGCCCATGGGCCTATGGCCCAGGCTCTGGTTCACATAAACCTATACATGTGCTTTAGCTGTTATATGCTCACATTTCAACACTTCTTCCAGGCAGAGGACAAAGTATCCAGCCCTCCCGAATTTAAATAACTTAAATTAATTACCTTAAAAAGGAGAACAAAGGAACTTATAACATCTATGGGTAATACCACTTTAGAACATAAGGTCATTTCTAAAACCTTTTAGATAAGGATGGTGGATGATTAACTTTAAATTTTAAAAAGATGAAAAATAATGGAACAACACACAAGAAAACTTGGCAAAGAGACACAACCAAGGAAAATCACTCCAAGGACCTTTAAGAAGGAAATTAGAAGGACAACAAGTAGATGAAAGAAGGCGAAAGTCTTTAAAGCAAACTCTCTTCACCATCAAGAATAGAGGAGCCACCACATTTGGACTCAAAAATTGAAGTGTTAGTTGTGGTTTTTGAGAAAGTAAAAACAACAACAATAGTTGTTTTTTTATGTGCAAAGCACTTCACGATTATTACCTCATTTGGTTCTCATAACAACTCTTGGAAGTTGGTGCTATTATTATCTCCCATTTTACAGACTGGGAAACTGAAGGAAGCAGAGATTTTTTTTTTAAAGTGACTTCACCAGAGCCATACAACTAATAAATGTCCTAGGTCAGATTTAAACTCAGCTTTTCCTGACTCCAGGCCCAGCATTCTATCCATAATTCCATCTAACCAGCATTGAAGAAAGCAAAGATGCTAAAAATGGCTGGATTGGTTCAAGTGCACACAGAAGATTCTGTGCTGGAACTAACAATTTTGAGGCTGAAAAAGGAGAAGATATTAAAGGCATGAAAGAATTCTTCCCCATTATTATTGTTAAAAAAAAAGCAACCATTAACAACTACTGACTCATATTCCTACCTTCCCACCTATTTAAAATTTTTTTGCAAAGACTGCATGAATTGAGGGCATCCTTGAGAAGTGCTTTTGAAAAATTGTATTTATGTAATATTTTAAGGTTTACAAAGCAATTTATTCATAATAACCCTGTTAAGTAAATAATCCAAGGATTATTAATTCCAGTTTACAGATGAGGACATTTGGGCTCAGGGTGGTTAAAAGACTTCTCTAGGATTACATAATAAGTGGACTAGGAGGGACAAGAACATAGA